AAAAAAAAAAAAAAAGAAGGGAGCTTAGATGTCACCTGGTTAAAACTGATAATTTGCTAAGATAACAGGTATGTGGAGACTTTTAACCAATGATGATGATAATGTTTCATCAAGCTTCATGCTTACAAACTGGGAGTTCTCAATTTAGGGTCCAGAGCTAGGGAGTTCTAAAGCTGAAAAATCTTCATTCATTTCCATGTTTATTCAACAGAATTTCAACAAGCATTTAATTAGTGCCTATTCTGTGTTAAACACTGAGTTGGGTGGTGAGGATAGCAGACACTGTGAGCTGATCTTGTGTCTTGCTTTAGGGCCTACTGTCCTTTATGTTTGAAAATCTCTGAAATGAAAGAGGTCATAGATTTCAAAGCAACTATTTGGTAGTGAATCATGTCCGCTGCCATGTCTCTACTCTCTTCTACCTGCCATATGTAGGAAACCAGTCTAACAGAAGAGGATAAAGTCAATGCACAGAAATAGAACCAGGTTATAAACAGATGATAAATTAGTAGAGTCCCTGACATCTATTTCAACCGCTTCCAAGTCACATGACCCAATAAATGCTTCAGCTAACTTGAGTTGTTTTTGGCACTTGTGACCAGGAGAGATCTGATTAATACAAATTCATACCATCCACTTCTAATTTGGTTAACTCTCTTTCAATCTGAGCCAAATTCAAGCATAAAGTAAAGGATAAGCAATGCCCCATGGCCAATTTCCTGTATCATATTCTTGCCACTAGTGAAATGAATTAGCCATTCTTCGAAACATTAAAACAATAAAACAGCCTTCAAGGATATTAAATAATTATTTACAACTCATCATATTTTTATTTTGTTTTTTATCATATTAAATATATTAGTAGACTCAATTCTCCCAGATACATGTTAATTCTACAATAAATACAGTTACAAATTCACAACAAACAAAAAGAAATCAGATAGAAAAACTGGTAGAAGCAAAGGATACATCTGATATTTTAGATTCTTCAAAGAGGGGGGTTTTCCCTTCTGGTTCCTGTAAGTCATCTGTCTTCACAGGATGATTAAAATGTAAAGTAAGGTCGCAAAGCAGCAACTGGGAGAGCTCTGTGTAAAACAAAATAATAGAAGATACTGTCTTGGAGCACATATGTCATAGACAACTATTATTACTTTTTTTTTTTTAAAGATTTTATTTTGGGTGGGTGCCTGGGTGGCTCTCAGTTGAGTGTCTGACTCCTGATTTCAGCTCAAGATCTCAGGGTCCTGAGATGGAGGCCCGTGTCAGGCTCTGGTTTCAGCTCGGAGTCTGCTTGAGATTCTCTCTCTCGCTCTCCCTCTTCCCCTTGCCCCGCTCGAACTCTATCTCTCTCTCAAATAAAATCTTTGAAAAAAAAAGATTTTATTTTTACATAATCTCTATACTCAGTGTGGGCCTCGAACCCACAACTCTGAGTTCAAGAATTGCAAGAATTCCTGTTCTGTATTTTCCTCCTAAGAAAAAGGTAATTTCTTTATAAGCCTCAGCACTTATAAACTACCAACCGAGCCAGCCAGGTGTCCCTATTATTACTTTTAGTAGCTATTTCTAATTCTTAGTTTTCTCCTAAGTGATTATTGATCAGACCACAATTAAGTGTGCCCCATTTTGACTTAAAGTCAAATTTATATACTATAAAATAAGCATGGCATAAAAATTAACTAGAAGGCTCCACTAACTGAACTGCAACTTGATTTATACAAATTTGATTTATGCTTTTTGTAAAGTTACTATTTTTGTGTTATATGTTATGTATAGAGAATCAAACAGGTCTATAAAGCATGTTACAAATATTAGCAGTTCCTATCTCCAAGAGGCAACCACTTTTAACTTTTTTTTCTTGCTCATATTGTTTTTGTTGCTTTTGTTGTTTTGTATGTGTCTGTGTTTGGTGTCTTTTGGTTTTGTTTGGGGGGCAGGTATTTACCTCCATATCTCTAAATGACATTCATATTTTATTTTTTCAACTGTAGGTATTATCTATGTGCTTCTGACTACAGAAGATTATGATATAGTTCTTTTCACTCACCCCCCACTCCCCCAGAGTGTACTTAAGAGTACAATATTTTTTTATTTTTATTTTTTTAAAAGATTTTATTTGTTTATTTGACAGAGAGAGAGAGAGAGCGAAAGCAGGAACACAAGCAGGGGGAGTGGGAGAGGGAGAAGCAGGCTTCCCACAGAGCAGGGAGCCCGATGCGGGGTTCGATCCCAGGACCCTGGGATCATGACCTGAGCCGAAGGCAGATGCTTAACGACTGAGCCACCCAGGCACCCAAGAGTACAATTTTTGTTAGCTCAATATTTAAAGGTTAAAACGTTTTGATTATATAAATATTCTCCACAGCTGAGCCTTGTAGTACATTTCCCTTCCTGCATGGTGCCACCCAATCAGTTAGTAATTTTCTTGTCTTCACTGCTTAATTATCATAAATATATCCCAAATCTTCCCCAGTTGGGCCGATCTCCTTCAAGTATATAGTCAGATGCCTTAGCTATCTGATTGTTGAAAGTCTCTCCTCTCCTAGAGCCTTATGATCTACTCTAGTCTGGACTGCTTGCTCTCTAGAACTGCAGTACAGCACACATCTGAAAACTCCCTTCACCATTATCCTAGGGACTTCTTTCCTCCCTCCCTTGTGTGGAGTATCCTTTTTCCAGAATCTCATTTCTTTCTCTTTTGGTCTGCTACCTTGTTTGGTGGAATATGACCTCAGTAATCAGTAACTTTCTGAAGGGGGAAAAATTTTATGTCTGAAAATTTCTCTCTCTATACCAATGCTTTAATAGATTGACTATAGAAATATAGGTTAGAAATCATGTTTCTTCAGATTTCTAAGGCCTTGCTACACTGTCTTCTAGCTTCCAGTGTAGCTTTGAGAATTTTCATGATTCTAATCCTTAATCATTGTTTCTCTTTAAAAACTTCAAGGACTTTTTGTTCTTCCAGAACAAAATTTCACAGTATTGTACTTGGGGGTCTACTTTCAACCACCGTGTTGGCCTCTTTCATTATAGAAACTGCTCTCCTTCAGCTCTTTAAATTTTTCTCAGATTAGTTCTTTAATGAATTCCTCCCTGTGCAGTGTCTGCGTTCTTTTTTTAATAACACTCCTGTTTACTGAATGTTGAACTTCCTTGACTGATCTTGTAATTTTTTGCTCCCTAAAACTTTCCACCTCTATTTTTTTTTCCCTCTAGGGGATTCTCCTTTTATCCTTAAACCCTTCCACAGAGGTTATTTCTATTGTCTCACATAATTTCCAAGAATTCCCTTCTCTAAAATTTTTTTATAGGATCATGTTCCTGTTTCATGGTCATAGCATCTTCTTTTACTTCTCCTCAGCTGTTGATAGTTTCTTGGGAGTTTTCATCTTAATTCATGATTTCTGTTTCTTCCTCATTGATGGAATCCATGTATTGACTTTGTCTCTGCTTTTCATATTAGATGCTTTCATCAAATATCTATTGCTCCAGAGCTATCTGCTCATATTTAAGACCATGGCAGTAAAGACAACTGGAAACTCTGTGCCTATGGTAGCCTGTCCTGGGGGGTGAGCTGGCTGGGTATTTTGTTGGGGGAAATCTCTGCTCTCAGTGTCTTTAGATTTTTTTCTCTTAGGCAAGTCAGATTCCTGAAAGAAAAATCTGCTTGAGGGTGTAAATCTGGCTGCCAATGTTTTGTAGCCAAGTGGGAAGAGAAAGCTGGGAGTCTTGTAATTCAGTATGTAAACTTTGTCTTAATATCTTTGTTTTCAGTACAGTACTCTTTGCCTCAACTTGTGGCTAATGGCTCCAGGCCAGAGATCCTGTCAGGGAATAAACTCAACTCTTCTGTCATAGAAAAGGAACAGTTGCCTAGTTCAGAGAGGGGAAGAGAACTTAGGGGTCTACAACTTCTTCTTCTTCTTCTTTTTTTAAGAGAGAGAGGTGGGGGAGGCAGAGAAGGAGAGTAAAAGTTTTTTAAATTAAAAAAAAGAGAGAGAGAGAGTCTCAAGCAGGCTCCATGCCTAGCGCAGAGCCTCACGCAGGGCTCCATCTCATGACCCTGAGAGCATGACCTGAGCTGAAATCAAGAATCAGATGTTTAATTGACTGAGCCACCCAGGTGCCCCTTTTTAATTATCTATCTATCTATCTATCCATCCATCCATCTATCTCTCTAGGGTCTACAACTTCTTAAACATTTAACCAGCCTTCCTGTTCTTAAACCCACCTTTACCCCCACTTCCTGAGGATTCTGGTGCCACCATATGCTGAGTCTTCATTGGCTCTACCCAGCCAGCTCACAGATCAGATTTTTGGACTTTAGGGTTCAGACTTTTCTGTTTGCTTCCATTTGCTTTCTGTTTCACTGTTAACTTTTTTTGAGAGCTCTTTACCTTGTGCATTTTTGTCTCTTTAAAATCACTTTAAATTTAAATCTCAGGTTTCTTTGTGACTAGTTGTGTGATCTAGGAAGAGCAGTTAACCTCTCTATGTCTGTTTCTCTATTTGTAAATGCCAGTGGTAATATTTTCTTCCTCACAAGGTTGTAATGACAATTGAGTCCATTTATACAGAGCTCTTGGAAGAGCATCTGGATTATGGTAAATACTATGTGTCAGCTATTGACATTACTATTGAGAAAAGGAAGTGTGGCTAAAAGGAGTGCTGTTCATTTAATCTTCCATGTTTACCAGAAGTCTGCCCTCTGACTCCAGCTCTACAAGCCCCTATAGCCTAACTGCCTGACTTACTCCACAGCTTCTCAGGAACACATTCATCACATTTCTATTTTACTTCACGAAAGAATAATCCCCAAGTTAGAACAGTTAATCAAGTTTGAGAAAAATCTAAAGCTTCTCTGTTTTAAATGAACACAAGTATCCAGACACCAATTATTCATTTAATAAACATTTCCAAGAACCTATTATATCAAGGTGCTATGTTAAGTGCCTGGAAGACCCTTAAGGGGCTTACAGTTGAGCAGGGATAGGAAAAGTAAGTAAACATGCAATTACAACACAGTGTGATAGATATGAAAAGGTAGAAGAGATAATATGCTTGCTTAAAAAAATTTTGCCAGTGGAAGTAACCTTGACTACTAAGTAGCAGTTAATCTGGCTGGGTGGAGGTGGGGGTGCAGCAGTGGGCATTTCAGAAGATGCATGTGTTATTAAGGTACAGATACGAATGAAGAGCAAATATGTAGCTCAGCAAATGGTTCGGTATGGCTGAAGCACAGAATGTGCAGGGATAAAAGAATGATAAGATACTGGAGAGGTAGGCAGGGGCCTGATCTCAAGAGGTCTTATAGTCCATTCTAGGAGGTTTGTTGGACTTTATTCTGGGGCAATAGTGAACTAATGAGAGTTTTCAGGAGATTAACATTTTAGAAAGGAAATCCTTAACTGTATCGTTGAGTTTGGTTTTGAGGGGTGATGAATTAAGCAAAGATAACGAGATTTCTTTACATCAGATTCCTCAGAGCCTTTGTTAATATGTACTGTGAATTTTTGAGAGAAATATACAGAATAAAGCACTTCCCAAATTTATTTGACCCTAATAATGTGGACTCTGTTCTTACTGCACACCACTTATTTTTTTTTTTTTTTAAAGATTTTATTTATTTATTTGACAGAGAGAGACACAGCGAGAGAGGGAACACGAGCAG